TGAGCTCATCACTATCTCCCAAAGGAGGCAGTAACTGATTCCAGGAATCGCTTGGAATTTTCCCCTCATTTACTGATATTTTCTCATTACCGGCAAAAAAAAAAAAAACACATACAACCTACTTCCCACAAAGCCTTTCCATTTCCCTTGAGATTGTTCATTTATATGTATCATGAACCGAAAACCCTGGAATACAGGGAATTCATGTTTTTGAAGGTTATACACTTAAAACACACTCAGACCATGAAGCTTTAATTGTCCTGTCATACACTCAAAGGAGATGAACCTTCAATTGATCCAACCCTCACCCTTTAAAATGTAACTAGAAATGGAACACCTTTAAGTAATCTCAACTAATGTGCATTACTTTGGTTGCAAAACAAATTTACTATCATATTTACTATGATACCTGCATAAAGGAACAAGATCCAGGTTAATGGAATTCTGATTCTGAAGCACAATTCTCCACCAATTAAACATCCAAGTATTAATTTCTTACAGTTATGATAATCACAACAGCTAATGACATTGAGATTGTATGTGTTGTATCATATGAAACTAACCATTTCCTTAAGATTTATACTAGACTATTAGCTCCAGGAGCGAAGGAACTTTTTTTGTTTTGTTAACTGTTGTGCCCAGTGCCTAAAACTGCCTGGCATAGAGTAGACTCACAAAATATTATACTGAATGATTATTAATTATGTTACTACACTGACATTTCCTTCCTTATATCTGCAAGATAACTCAAGAAGAAAGTATAAAAATTATTGCTCAACATCATCAATCATCAGGGAAATGCAAATCAAATCCACAATGAGCTATCACCTCACACCTGTTAGAAATGGCTGTTATCAAGAAAGCAAGAGGCAGGCCAGCCGAGTGGCTCAGTTGGTTAAGAGCTCGCTCAAGAGTGTGAGCTCTGAGCAACAGCGGTTCGATGCCCGGCCCAAGCTGAGCTGCTGCTGAGCTGCCAACAGGTAGCAGGATGGCTCAGCTAAAAAAACAAAAACAAACAAACAAAAAGAAGGCAAGAGGCAACAGTTGCTGGCAAAGATGTATGAAAAGGAAACATTTACACATTGTTGGTGGGAATGTAAATTGGTCCAACCACTATGGAAAACAACATGAAGGTTCCTCAAAAAATTAAAAAATAGATCTACCATATGATCCAGTAATTCCACTTCGAGGATATATACCCAAAGGAAATGAAAATAGGATTTTGATGAGATATATGCACTCTCATGTCTATCTCAGCATTATTCACAATAGCCAAGATATGGAAACAACCCAAATACCCATCAATAGATGAATAAAAAGAAAAAAAGTAGTAGTAAACATACACAATGGAATATTATTCAGCCACGAGAAAGGAAGATACACTCCCATTTGCGAAAACATGGGTGGACCTCATTGAGCACATTATGCTAAACAAGAGAAATCAGACAAAGACAAGCACTGTATAATATCACTTATGTGTGGAATCTAAAAAAGTTAAACCTGTAAAACACGGAGCGTAAAACGGTGGTCATCAGGGGATTTGGGGGGGGGGGGGAAGGGGGGTGATAGATAAGACAAATGTGTAACAAGTAGCAAACAAGCCATAGAGATCTATTATATAGTATAATGAATATAGACAATAATATTGTACTATAATGATGTAATATATAATCTGAAAAATATTCCTACATAGGCAATCATATTATATAATAGGTGAACTATCAAAGTAACATGTATACCCCAAACATACGCAACATTACATGTCAAATTTATTCAATTAAAAAATTGCTTTCAAAAATTCGAGAAATCTCAAATTTTTATAAAACTTTCAACATCTTTCATATTTGCTTTAAATACTTTCCTTTTTTCAACTTAAAGGTGCCGTCTCTTTGTTTTTGATGCATGCAGATATGTCAAGTTTCACTTCCCTAAAGTTTTAGAATTTATAAAATGCTTTATTAATTAACCTTTTTGCACCCAACAGATATGTTTCAAAACCCTCACTATCTTTTAATAATCCGAGCCCAGACCACTAATCAGTATCTTCCAACTACAGTATTCTCCAACTGCTTCATTGGTTTCCCATTAAGAATCATATTGATTATCAAACTGCTCTTTAACCTAAGAGTCATTGTGACTTTCTCTTTTCTTAATTAGTTTTTCTCTACATGTCTAGACATTCACCAACTACTGAATTACTCAGTTCTAAAGTCTAGTAAAAATTTTAGGTCACTGGCTCTACTTTTGGAAAAGGTACCTCTGGAAAAAATAACATTACAAATTTTCTGATGTCCTATCTTTGGTGCGTATTTTTTAAAACTTTAGTACAGGCTGAAATACTTAAAATTCTAAGTTACTACTCTTAGAAAATGTCAGTCTTTAAAGACATAAAAGAAGATGATAGCTGTTATTCTATGAAAAACAAACCAAACATTGTATCTAGTAATCACCTGTGAGTTTAAGCTATTTTATTAAAGATTCAAAACATATGCTTCAAACACTGATTTAAGTTCTTTAGAATGATTACAAAATTCAAATTGAATAAATAAATTAGAGCTGTTTACAGGAAAACATTGACGTTTCCTCTTTAACAAGCCTTATTAATTAAAATCAAAGACTAATGAACAGAAGGCAATCAAGGCCTGATTGGCAATAGAGACATAATTCAGGTAAATAACAGTTCAAAATAAATGCTTCAAATTGTGTTACTATTACCACAGAACATTCTATGAGAGATATTGTCAGGTTTGCATCTAGTTGTTTTAAGCTATATAGGGAGCTGTTTTCATTTCAGACATTTTTAAATACTCTAATTCTTCCAACAACTGCCGTTGCCAGCTTGGCCTCACTGTGAAGCTCACTTCAGGCCCAAGGATGGGA